CGTTGTACTGTATTAAAGGTTAAACTATCTTCAAAAAACCGTTGACCACTACATAATCCATTGAGTAGCTCTAATGACTGGACAACATATTTAAAATACACAGGAACCATCAGAGCCACCGAAATCCATAAAGGCCCCCGAACCAGCGAGAGCGGAGGCGAAGACAATACCAGCTCTGAAGACCAGTGACACTCCAACAGTCAAGTCCATACCAGCGAAAGTGCAGGAACCTATGTACACTAAGGCCGCCACACCTAAAGTAAATAAGGTAATACACGCACTGATCATTGATAATTACGAAACCCTCACAAACGTTTCCTAATTGATACCTCAACACTCATCCAATGGGGTGTAGCGTTTCTTCAACTCATACATTCCATTTACTTTTCCACAGACTCCTGAACTTCAAAAGAAGATAGTCAAGACACAAGACTCACTATCAACAAAGACCACACCATCGAGGGATCACAAACCTCCACCTCGAGGGCACAGACGGATGTCCAGCGTCAGTCAGGCAGCGCTACTAACTGATCTGATGCACGTGTCTGTAGACCAGGATGATATAGAACCACCTCCAGGAATGGAGAGAAAGGTCATAGGTATGGACGAGAATATTCACTCAGATATAGTAGATTGAAGTATAATAGGAAATAGGCACCTAAGTTTTAATTTAATTTTCTGTTTGTTTACAGGTCAAGAAAGAGATCCAGTGCCTGTCATAAAGCCTAAGGTGGAACCAGAAGATATTCTGGATGTAGATCATGATTACTCTTCAACAGAGAGAAGAAAATCTTGTAAGTGCACACGCTATTACATATGTCCTATTATTAAATAAGATTTTTCTTTAGCTTGAACAAATCACAAAAGAAGTTCTTGATCTCTTACGAATGGCCTTCTCTTGCGTACATCTAAAACATTAAATTCTATTACGAAAATAAATGGTTATCGCAAAGGGCATTAGCAAAAGACATTTGCATCTAACCAACCATTTTTTTCAGGTCAGAGAAGAGACTCAGAAAAAAGAAAGAAGGAGTTCATAGTGGTACAGAGTGACTTATGGGACACGAACACGTTCCAGTATACCTGCCAGAAGTCTCCACCAGCAGGTGAGAGTGCCACAGGTGATGACTTTGCTCTTATTGAGTAGCAGACTAGAAGTACAGTAGAGGTAGATATTTGGAAGTATGCCGATGTTTATTTACAGGGAAACGATATAATTTGAAAGTTCTTCGTACAGTCTTAGAAGTCCAAACAAATCAATCCAATGAAATCCTCTTCTAATTCTATCCTCAACTACCTGTCTGTACTGGTTTTCCTAACAATTTTACCAAGCATATAATTTTTTAAAGCTTATTTTGGTTATAGCAGTTCCTTTTTGTCGAAAAACTTATTTTCCAAATTAATTTGCCTTTTCCATTTCTGCAGTAAGTCACCATCACTCTCCAATGCAGAGAAGTGTGTCAGAAAAGAGTAGACAATCACAGTCTTCACCTCATCATCACAGGTACTTCAACTACCATCTCTTAAGGCTTACTTTTCTTTACCATAACTTTCGCTTTTGATTTTAACCTTGATTTTGTTCATAAATCGCCTTAACACCTTTCCAGGGAAACTGACACAAGAAGTATGGAAAGGAGAGCTTCAAATGCTTCCATAAATTATGGTAAACTTTGTACCAACTTTACCTGTAGTTACCATTGAAATAGCAACCAAAGGCTTTGCTAATTAAATTCATTTTCAGCAGGCACTGGGACTGGTACGAGAGGTGGTACTCCTGAAGGGTATCGAGAAGCGGAAACCCTTAGAATGACAGATAGGTTATCAAAGGTAATTATAACAATAATTGATTGACTCGGATATGCTTCAAGAGCATTATGTTCTTATCATTGTACTTGCCTTTTATAGCGACGAGGCTCAGAGTTCCCACAACCAGTTAGCACTCCTCCACAGCAGGCTCCAGCCAAAAGAAGACAGTCTGCAGCTCATGTAAGTAACTCTACTATACCATTTTTTATACGGGGTGGTTTTTAGTCAGTAAGAGTCTGACACTCCCTTCCGCCTCACCCAGGCGGGAGCAGTAATTCGATGATTTTCCCCCCTTAAAAAAAAAAATACCATTTTTAATAGGATAGGTACAGCAGGCTATGGCGTCATCGATATTTGCAGAATTGAATATTCTACTGTTTCCAGGTTAGATCATACCAAGAGGAGAGAATGTCGAGGGAAGAAGAACGAAAGTCGAAAACAGAGTCTACACCCAGAAGACATGACGATATACCCAGAAAGTCTGTGCCAGAACCTGTTCTGGAGACAGAGACCTGGAAGCCTGATCCTGACACCATTAGAATGGTGAAAACTCAGGATTCTCCTGCAAAGAGGTTGAGACAAGAAGCTGAGCCTTTAAAGAGAGCGAAGGGTGTGGGAGATTCTCCAAGACTGACGCAGGCCAGTCACACGCCGAGACCTGACCATCATAAAAGTAGTCCCAATGTTGCGTCCAGGCACAAAACGGGTGAGTGATCAATCATATTTTAAAGAAAAGCTTTAAAAGATCAATTTTTTCTTTTAAACGTTGCCCCACACTAGGATTTTCTCCTGTGTCGTGGGTGCGTTTACAAACATACAAGTTCACATACACAAAGACACCCAGACCCGAAACAACAATTTGTGGATCACACAAAGTGTTGACCCGTGCGGGAATCGAACCCGCGACACGTTGCACGGCAGCCGGTTGCCCAGCCACCGCACCAACCGTGCAGTCAAATTCAAGAAATAAATTTGTTTTCTTTTGTCCAGATTCTCCAAGTAAGAGAGAAGACCGAAAGTCTACCGGCTACAGGAGTGACTCCAAGCGCCAAGAATCAGTAGACCAGCGTAAGATGTACACGGCGAGTTCCGAATCAGAACTTTTTGAGTGCGCCATCTTGCCAATCTTCCATAAACTACTCACAGAGAGGCACAAGAGCCAACCACACGGACTCAATCTGAGTTACGGAGTTAGCTGTCCGAATATATCGATAAAATGCGATATAGTCGAGTATTTGTAATGACGTCACAATTTAGCAAATTAACGTAGCAGTGCTAGTAGTGTTTGTATGGAAGTAAATTCAGATAATATAATTTCAATTAAGTAACGTTAACGAGAAAACAATTGATAATTTGATACTTATCTGAATATAAAAGAAAATCTTTAACAAAAATATATTTTCAATTGTTTTTTGTTAAAATATTCTTTTTATTCTTGCCGCCACAACGCAACAGTACAACACTAGCCTATTAGAGGACATAACGTCAAATATCTGCTAATCTGCTCTAGTGGTGCCCCACTAGAGAATACATTTAACGATAACTTTTAAAATAGGTACTAGCTACTGCTACCTGTTATTTTATTAATATTGTGTAATTAAATGTTTAGGAAAATGATTGTCATTTTGTCATTGCATTTGGCCTCTTAATATTGTTTCGATATTTTGTCATTTGTTAGTTAACGTGACAGATTGTAGTACAAGATTCTAAATAAATATTTTTAGATATGTAAAAATTCATCGACAAGTTCGCTCACGGGTCTTTAAATGTAAAATGTAAAAAGTATCGAAAGTATTAAATTTTAACATCGAATAAGTGTAAAAAGATTTAGTCAAATCGCACAGGATCTCTTAACGCACAACAATGGTATCCCACTGTTGGGCCAACTTCCCAGTTTATTTTTCTTTGTGATATTTATAGTCAAACGTTAGTTGTTAGATTCAATGTGTTCAGTTATTTATATTAAAATTTTATCTAATTTATAGGTTACCTTTATTACTATTTACTATTATAAAATAATCATTTTTGCCGCCTGTTGTTAAATTTTTTGATTATAATAATGTTATAATGTTTACGTATCTTTATCGATGAACCGATTGTGTTACCTGTATGATTTATCCTATTAAATAAGAAAGATTTTGTCTATTTGCACGTAATTTTAAAGACTTGATAATTTGTAAGATTGAACATAGGTACCTACTTAATGTAATAAATCATTTGAATATAAAAACTTGTTTTATTAATCTACAAAGTACTAATAATGATTAAATAAATATAAATAAACAATTAAAAAATCATTCCTACTTTTTACTCGTCGTGTGTTTAGGTAAAGCTGCTAATATATGTAGATACGTTACGAAATCACTAGTTATGTTAGATGTATTACTTTTCACAAAACTGACTCACACAACAGCTTGAACGAAAATCCCGCGCTATTAGATACTGAGAATTTTCTAAAACTGAATGAGTATAGCTGTAATATTTTGGCTGAAATTGAACCTTGCACAAGTCTTTGCTCGATAGTGCTTATTTATTCCTCATTGAAGATAGGTTAAAAACACATTGTAGATAGTCTTAAAAATCATAGAACTATCTAATTAAATATCTACTAAATAGTAATTTAAATGTAGAAGATCCAACAGTCAAACTATTTACATATAGTTTTGTTGGACATGGCGTTAGATTATAAGGCATACCATGTACCTTTATTATTAATAAATAAATAAATAAATAATAATTATTCTTAAAGCTACAGCTAGGTAGACTTTTAGACCTAAAAGCAGTTTTGTGAATGAAGCAAAATAAATACACGAACTTCATTTGCGGAGGTACAGAACCAATAAGTTTCTAATTGGCTGGTTACAATATTTTTTAATATTGTAAGTATTCAAGTCATGACTTAAACATAAATAAATACAATTAAGACCAGTGTTATAAACCGAAACGTGACTTTTCTAATGATATAATATAATCTACTCTGCATCGATAACGCATATTTTATACTTTTGTACGACACTGGCTCGCCTCGAGAGTCGAGACATGAGACGACTCGCGTGGCGCAACACTATCCGTCAGTATTTTTCTGTCGCTTCGCTCGTTCGGTTGTGTTATTTTATTTTGTGAATATTTTGTGAGATCATTGTTATTTGTGTTTATTATCTAATGTAATTAAGTGTCAGACTTAAAAATACAAAATGCCGGTGTTTCACACGAAGATAATCGAGAGTATTTTGGAGCCAGTTGCTCAACAGGTGAGAGTTAACTTCATATTATTTATAGAAAAACGTCCTAGTTGGCTGGTGTAGGTGTGAAATTAGTAGATTATTGTTTACAGCAGTCGTTTACTTCAATATTATCGGTGTATTATGTCATAGCAGTGATTAGCGCGGGAGGAATGCGATGAAAATGTCTTTATTTGGTCGTGAGGCAGTGTCGGCCTTTTTGGTTGGTTTACGGGCGAACCCGGGTGTCGTATGTTGGATAACCTTGGCTGGTAAGAAGTGTGAAGTGAATCAGTAGCTACTGTTCTGTTTTTGAATGTCAAATCGGCAATTTGAATACTTTGAATTAAATGAATGTGACACAGTAAAGTTTTAGTTAACTCTAAACATCGTTCAATTAAAGTGAATTAGTCTTAACTACATTCATGTAATGGTATCTAACTAGACGCTGTTTTGTATTTTCATATCCATTCCATGACCACTTCAATGAAAAAGATATGTTTGAACAAGTATTTCTCATAAAAAGTATGGCAATTTTTAAAATGAAAGTAAATCACAATACAAGATTCAAATAAGAAACAGCAAGTGGTCATACAGGTCAGCTTGTAAAGTTACCATAAATACAGAGTAGTCTAAAAATCTTGCCTTTTAAAGTTACAACAGGTTTCTTGCCAAATAGAGTTATTATTCTAGCTTTGCACCAGTCATTACAAAATAATAAAACTTTTTTCCAATTAGAACAGAATACATTTAACAGAAGAAGAATTACAGAATATCATTTGATAATTGTACGTTAAAACTTCAGCAAGCATCACAATAGTTGGTTAAACAATTTTTAAGCTTGAAATCACTATTACTTGCAGCTTCAGCCCAGATTGAAAGAGCAAAAGATTGCCTATGCATCTATACTCCTCCAATTGCCTGTGTAAAAACAATATTACCCATCGAATTTTAATAAAAAACAGACCATATACATTTGTATTTATAGTATTTAGAAAAGATTCCCGATTTTTTGAAACATTTCTTTTATTATTTAATATGAATCTAATAATCTATTGCATCAAAATTACAGTAATCAACAATGAATACCTACCTATAATGGGCTGGTGCTGAAAATCAGTGCCGTGGGCTCAAGCCTCTGTGCCCGGTCCACGGTATTAAGCTGGGCTCCAGCCTTTTGCGCTGCTATGCACCATAGGCTTTTTGTGTGTTCCTAAATTCTTGTTGTGTGTCATAGCAAAATAAATGGTTTTTCTTTTTTTCTTTCTTTCTTTCTATGAATATATTCAATCACACTACAAAACATGTGCAAAAACAATTTACTCTATTAAAAAATAATGAGTCAACAACATCATTTCATGAATGAAATACTTGCTCTGTTGCTAGTATTACTATGGTCATTGTTTTCAATTAATTCTTTACAAATAATGCTCAGCATCTGGTCACTGACTCACCTGTTTTCTGTAAACTGTTATGAGTAATCTTTAATGACTTAAAAGGTCATTCATTTAGAGGTTTATGAAACTAGTTTATGTATAACTTTATTGTCAAAATACTTAATAAAAAGTATAAATATCACTAACTTTTGTCCCTAATTTGCCTGTGTGAAATAGCCACTAGTCCTACTCTGTACTCTAGCCAATATTCATATTTGCAAGAAAATTGATTGAGTATGTAAAGAGTTAAGAGGTATAACAATCATACACACTTTGCTTTTATAATATTTGTGAAGATTTCAGTAACTGTGAATTATATTAATCAACTCCTATTAGCGGAAACAACTGATAGTATTATGAGTTCTTCCTGTGAATTCCTGTAATACCAAAATATTGATGATTATTTTAATTTTTGCAAAGTATGAGACTGGCTCGTTATTGCCAATAGGAATTCTATGAGTATTAAAAGTATTTATTTCTAATATAAAAAAAGGTCTAGTACATCAGCTACCTGCCGGTAAAAGTCCCGTCAAAATCAGTCCAGCCATTTCAGAGATAGTTGCAACTTTGGTGCAATGGTTATCGCTTGAGGCATACGTTTTATGTGTCGCAGGGTCAATCCCAGAACTCAGTCAGCCAGTACAAACAGACAGACAAAATTAAATAATAATGATATTTTGGTATAGGTATCAGTGATGCTAGTTTTATGGTTGTGATTGTATTTAACGAAGTTGAATGAGATGAGTGAGGAAATTATGTATATGCAATATTCATATACATGTAGTAAAAAGCGGTTAGTTCAATATTAAGGACTAATTTTATTTATCTGTATAGATTTAGTATCTATATGTATATAGTAAATTAGTAACTAGTAAAGAAATTGTTATAAAATTATCATATAAGTAAAAAATAGTGCAATATCGTTATCATGTGCGCTTATCACTGTTTACATTGCACATAAATAAATCAGATTTTATCAAAAGTCAAGGCGAGAATCGCAAGGTCCAATATTATAAGGTACTTAAACATGATTAACAATTTTATTGTGAAAATGAATTATAATTTTAATATCCCACATCCTGTATCTTGTACATTATGTATCTTAGATATTATAAATGCGAATGTATGGTTGCGAGTCACCTTTTTACATTTTATTGACTGAACCATTCTTTTTTATTTAGTCGGGAGTATGGTGAAAGATATTGGCTAAATTTACACAGGCCAAGCTGAGGCAAAACCCTCTAATAAATAAAATACTTACTTCGTTAGTTTCTGGAAACCATTACTTTACCAACTTTACAGCTTGTTGTAATTTAAAACTAGTCCAGACACTAGTCAGAGTTCTAAAACAATAGTTACAAGATGCAGCTGTCTATGTATTTGTTTACATTGTTTTGAGTTAAATTTTAAATATATTTTAAGAACAATAGCATGCCTGCTTCTCGGAAAAGCCAAGAAGTCCAGAATTGCATTCCTATTCTCCTGTTTTGCCAGTTTATCCTACACGGTCATAAGATTGTTATTTTCGCCATGTATAAATCAGACCTGACCCTCACAATGAAAAAGTGACTAAAGTATTCGAATTATTAAAATAATATGGCCAAGGTTCAAGGAGAATCGAACCACTCAGTTAATACATATATTAATAGTTTTTGACATCAGTAATACTTGATTATGTGAAGCCATTTATTGCACCAGCTATAGTTAATGAAATTATCATGAAACAATAGTCTATAAAGGCTAATGGACTGTGAAGTCCCAGGTTCAGTGATTGATATTGTACTTGTACTCTGTAGGAGACGATGGCATATGTACAAAAATTGTAAAGTCAGTGGCATATGAAATCAGTAGTCCCTTAAGTTACATAATTAATTTAAGCATAAGTGAAGGTATATTTCCGACTGAGCTAAAAAAATCAATTATAAAACCACTGTTTAAGAAACAAGACAGGGAGCAAGTGGAATTTTACAGGCCTATATCACTTATATCAGTAATGTCGAAAATTTTTGAAAAATACATTTATAGGGAACTTAATAACTATTTTGAAAAAAATAATATACTCTGTGACGAACAGAAAGGATTTAGGGAGAAAAAAACAATCAATTTGGCCATATATGATTTCTTGTATAATGTTATGACAAACATGGATAAAAACACACCAGTCTGCGCCATTTTCTGCGACATGACACAGGCTTTCGACTACGTACAGCATAATATACTACTAAATAAACTTGAGGCATATGGTATCAGGGGAAATGTTTTAAATCTAATAACATCATACCTACATAATAGAAAACAAGTAACCCAAATTAGTAGAATAAATGTGAACACTCAACGTGAAGAAATTTTCACATCATGTGCGCGTACAGCTCCTCATGGAGTTCCGCAAGGTAGTGTACTTGGACCGCTCCTATTTACTCTGTATATCAATGATTTCCCTAAAGCCATTAAACATCCGATGACTCTGTTTGCCGATGACAGTACGATTACTATACCATGCCATGAAAAAACTAATTATGAAATGGACATAAAAAGTACTTTAATTGAAGCGGTAAAGTGGCTTGATAATAATAATTTAAAAATTAATATAAATAAAACTATGATTATGCATTTTAGTCATCGATTATCCTTATTTTCTAATCTTGACATCGAATATAATAATAATAGAATACAAATTGCTGAAACCACAAAATTTTTAGGACTGACAATCGACAAAAATTTAAATTGGAAAGCGCATGTTGAATCTCTAGCCAAACGAATAAGCAGTGCGGCATACGCGTTATATAAATTATCGCGTACTGTAAATATAGAAGCGTTATTGACGGCCTACTATGGTTTGGTTGAATCGGTCATTAGATACGGTGTAATCTTTTGGGGTAACTCAACCGATAGGGATGTCATTTTTAAGAGACAAAAATACTGCTTGCGATCTATGTTTAATCTCAAATCTACTGACAGCTGTAAAAATTACTTTATTAAATATCGTGTATTAACATTGCCTTCACTTTATGTATTAGAAATAACAATGTTCGTGAAGACAAATCCACATTTGTTTCCTCGTATGGCAGACAGATTTCCAAGGAATAGACGTGACGATAGCCAACTATGTTTACATACATCAAAAACTGCACTTATGCGCAAGAGTGTATTTTGCATGGCACCAATTATCTATAATAAATTACCCAAAAGTTGGAAAGAACTAACTATACCTAAACTAAAACAAACAATGAAATTGTTTTTGGCACAGAAAGCTTATTATAGTATAACGGAGTTTTTAAGTGAGTCAGTGATTGTTATAAATAAATAACAATAAAAACTAACATTGCCCTAATTAAGGTTGTGTCACAGTGTAGGACACAAAGAAACATATTGTTAATATTATTACAATTGAATGTTATTAAATAATAAGTAAAATATATAATTTGTATAATAATAATTAAATCATTTTTAGTAAATATTAATTGAATATGAACAAATTAATTAATAATGTATAATGATACTGCAGATATTTAATGTAGGTATAAGTGTAAATTTTAAAATTAATGTAATAATTCACAGTCATTAAAATTTTTTTTATATAATAGATATTTGCACGCCATGATAAATGGCAGACATGTCGTAAGCCACTTTTCTCTAAGATCTTGCATGCTGTATTATTTTAATTCTGTATGCACACACATGTTTGAGCAAATAAAATTCTTATTCTTATTATTCTTATTCTTATACTTACAGGTTTTGTTTGTGCAAAACATGATGGACGAAGTTGTTTAACTCTTTGTTATATGTCGCGGAGAACCTAACGGGTAACCGGGGCTCCGGCTCGACGTGCAGGAGAAGGCACGGGGTGGTTTTTAGTCAGTAAGAGTCTGACACTCCCTTCCGCCTCGCCCAGGCGGGAGCAGTCATTCGATGATTTTCCCCCCTTAAAAAAAAACTCTTTGTTATACTTTTGCGGTTTTAATTTTAAAACGACGATTAAAAAAGTGGGATAGCAATTAAATACCTCGTAATCAGCCAGGGTATACCCTCTCTATATATAATAAATCTATAAATTTTCAACTGTATGATATTGTAAGAAAGATTAAAATCAATTGACGAAAATTGTCATATTGGAGTAACGTGAAGAGCTAGCTGTAATTTGTACCAATCATAAGTCTGAAGACGAGTGTGTCATGGAATGCCAAGACTAGTAGGAGTCGAAAGACTATAATTAATTTCAAATGAGTCATTGAATTACGAAGCAATTTAAACCCATAAAGTGATAATCGACTGTAAAGAAGTTAAGTGAAAACATCGATATAGTTACTTAGTATTTAGTAAATGGTTACCAGCTGGACTGAAGAACACGAGATCTTTTATTGATTGCAAATTTCAGCATCTACAATTAGATAAAAAGTTTAAAATGCAAGGAAAGTCTCTAAAGTTTGAATCCATAGAAGTTACGTTACGTAACTATAAATTGTATTGTGAACCTGATTGGAAAAGAGTAACTTTGGAGTTTCTTGCGTTTTTCTCCATAGGAATATACACCTTGAAATGAGCAAATAGCTTCACTTTTATTATTGTTGACGTTCAAAAGTGCCTTCCTGGTCTAATTGAAATAATTGATTTTGACTTTGACTTTGTTATTTCACCTAAACTTATAAGGGAGCAGTTGAATGCAGGGAATTTCCAACCAGTGTATCTGGAAGTTATTAGGGGATACTATTCGTACGTCTTGTAATTATGACTGATACAATGATGCTGATGCGAAACAATACAGATGTTTAGGCACTTCTTTGACATCCAAATAAGTATAGTTATGAGAAGTGCAGAAGACAGAATTGGATAGGAGGAACTATAATAGTTTGTAGTAACTATAGAGTATGGGTCGATTTATGGAAAATGACGATTATGGCTACAACATGAGATTACTGACAAAACTAGCCAAATGTGGGCGTAGTTTACATCACTACCTTTTCTATAAAGGAAAAACAATCGTGAAGATATGCTACTAGCTCAAAATTATGGACACAGCAGAGGTCCTTAACCTCAAGTTATGAGTGAAATCATAAATCTTTGGACATTTATAGTCTGGCCGTATCTAGGCCCAATCAGCAAACTCGGTGCCTAATAGGCTATCACGACTTGGCAACCTAGGAAAACATTTTATAATGTAATAAATTCTGATTCGCGTGTTCAAGAGTAGTTAGTACCTATTTTATTTTTTATGGAGTCAGGTTTTTATATTTAACGCTAAATCTTTTTGTGATCATTGATCATCAGTGTTTCGCGAATAAATGAATGAAGAATAGTACTTATAGTTACTGTTGAAATATGCATATTTCAAGTCTCTTTATCACGATTATGTCATAGATATAAATTCATCATGTATCAGGCCTGCATTGCGATAATAGTTACCACACAACATGCACATAGATAATGATGAAATTGTTACCGTGCATACTAGGCTTGTAACTTGGTAATGAGAAAATCGTTCGATCTGCAATGTGGTCGTTTTGAACAAACAACCTGGAACTGTGATAAGTACCTAGTTAGTTAACCATATGGCAGTAGTTGACAAAATCGTTAAAGGCGAATCCAAGTGACATAAACATTCGTGAAAGAACTAAAGTGCCATTATCACTTTTTATACTTTCGATTATAAATTGCAATGTAAGTATAAGAAAGTATCTGAGGATAAAGTGGTATCCACACAAACCGTCAGTCATATCGTGTCGCCCACGTGTTTCAGTAATTAGGGCAGGTGCGCAACCTCGCCTGTATCCGCACTCGGCAGCTATTTTTGCCATGGGACTGCTGGGCTCGGCCCTACTGGACTAATGGTCACGCCAAGGTCGTCTTGCCCGTATAGTTTTATCCACGAGAATAGAATTTTGTTGGTCTTTTATTTTGTTTTTCCAGTCATCTTAATAAAAGTATCGGTCTGTATACTTGAGGGATTTTAAAACGCCTGACAGCAGATTAGAATACAATATTCACTAACTTATCTTATGGGGGTCTAAAGAGAATTGGGAATGGGAACTTTTAACTGAGACTGGGGAGCAGCATTTTCTTGCCAAGCCTAAAGATAATGGCAAACCAGGAAAGTCCAGGAATGGACTCTCACGGACTATTAATGATAATAAAAACAATGAACCCTTTTTAGAGCCACGAAACTTACTCAAAATAGCGAAGAGTTAGGAAACAGGCGCCAGACTTGCAATAAATTATTCAATCTGAGAGCGGTATTGAGTGCGCGAACGATTTATACCTTGTAAACGCTTTGTATAGTAATATAGCACTAACTCGACTTGTTGCCGGTGCAGTATAAATTACTATACTGCTCTGAAACTGTTCTGGTAACAATGTAACAACTGTATGTTCGTTACAATAGGTCTAGAAGGCTATTGAGATTGTTTGTGATCCTTACGTATTTTTATGTCCTACATTTTGAGTTTTAACTTATCATCCATGTTATGCTAAAAACCAATAGTTTTGGACGCGCGCATTAGTTATCCTTGCGATTTTGTGATTCATCCGCTCATGTTTGACAGTCGACTTTAACTTCAAGCCTCTAGAAATTAATTACAATTAAAGTATCAATTTTCGTAAGAGACCCATATTAACTTACCAATTAAAAATATTGAAAGCCAGTCTTACTTTGATTTCAGTGCTAAAACATGCCAAAAAGTCTTAAACAATGTTTTATTACTTGCAAAGTCAACAAGGCATTAAGTATTCATCCAGTGCATTCCCGCTTCTATAAATAAACTGCGGGCCGAGTCCCTGAGTCGGGAGACCCCGTTGTTTTAACCTTTTTGCCGGCTCAGGCCCGAGACTGAAGCTATATCTAGGTATAAACTGAACGGTGAAAGAAGGCGATATGAAGTCTAGAGAAAATATTGTCTTGCCTTGAAATTCTTGGATATAAATTATGACAACATAAAGCTGCATGGTCTGGGATAACATATAGGCTACTTTTTATCCCATGGGCATGCGGACGACGCTACTGGCCGAAGCTAGTGTTTGTTATTAAGTTTAATTTGAAGTGTTTGATAGTAATTATGATGTCAAATGTGAGAATGACAGGGTGGATTGTCTGGGGTCTGGGTCTGTTAAAAATCATTTAACAATCAAGCGACATGCGTATTCCGCATAATGCGTCTACATGATACGGCAAAATAAAAAGGGATGATTTATCTTCCAACACTCGGTGTCAGATTAAATAAATTAAGGAAGTTTAGGAACTAGATGATGAATTTCTTCTAGTCTGCATAGACAATGTCTCCGTACAAACTATTTCCAGATTCTTAATAGCTCCGTTACTTCATAGTTGACTAAAATCTCATAAACACGAAACAAAGTCAATACACAAAGCGATAATGTTGCCAGGTGATATAATTCAAATATTCTATATTTAAATGTTGACTCACTACTGGCTGTTTGTTATCGTTTTAGCGCGCTGTGTTCGCGCCTAAATTTAAATTTGGAATCGACCGGGAACCATTTCGTAACCATTTTGTTTTTATTTTCGTTTTGATGGCGATTTATGATGGTTGTAAAATGTGGTGACTTGTAGACTAGGTATTAAATAGTTGTTTTTGGTTCAATTAGTAGTAATACTTCATTAGTTAAACGTTATTGATTATTTCCTCAGTCTAAGTTGACGTAAACCAGAGCTTGGCTGGATTATATCAACTTGGTTGAGTGCAGCTATAATACACATGTTAACAAGATTGTTGCTGGAAATTTATTTAATGCAGTGTAAATGCAGTTTTAAAGAGTATACAATAAATAATACAAAAATATGGATAAATATGTATATCTATTTAATATAATTTAAATATTATCATGCCCATAGCAAGTCCGTTCCTGTATACAACTTTTTTATGCTTGACGTTTTAAACAATTTACTTAAGAAGAAGAGTGTGTCATGTGATGATATTTGATAGGAGTTAGGAGAAAATATAAGAAGCTTAGAATAAGAACATAAAGTAAACAAAAATGTCGTTCAGCTTTTTAAAATGGGAGTTTTTGTGATGGTGTTTGGTAGTGAGATATGAAAATAGAGGGATAGTAGTTATAAAGATGAAAGCAGTTGGAGAAGAAAGAACAAATACAGTGTCAAATCTACTTCTGTTATTAGTTATCTGAAATAATGAGTCATCCATGTCTAAAATTAGGATCTACTGAGTAACATAATTAAGTAACTTTTACAAATAAATAATATGTGAATATGCAAATTTTTCTTTATAACAATCAATCTGATGTTGTATACAATAAATTAATAACTTATGAAACATTACACTTAATATTTCTTTACCTTTGTTGTCTTTTCAAGCACAACTCTGCTAAGTCCGCTTTAGCCTTAGCTTCTCTAAGCTTCTCTTTTAAAATCTTAAACTCCATGTTTTGTATGACTTCTGCATGTAACGCTTTACTCTTATTCTCTTGTTGATGAGCTCTTAATTTCTGTTTCAAGAGTTGAACTTCTAAATAATGTACTTCTTCTGCAGATGGAAACATAGATTCATCCTTTAAATTAGGCCTTGATTCTTTAAAAGAATTTTGCGCATTTTTACTAGGTGTTAATGATGAATTTTCACATTCTGTTTCTGTTTCGAATGATGGGGTTGGTGATGGTAATGGTTCGATTTTGACCGAGGTTTCTGGTAGTGTCTCCTGATCACCAGTGTTTAAGGTTTCTTCGCTTTCTGCTCTGCTTGTTCCTGCTTCTACTAAGAGATCGTTGTTTACGTTTTCTACAATAACAAAAGGGCAAGGGCATTAAAAGGGCATTTAATTAAAAATTAGTCAGTTGCTGAAAGAAGGATTCTACCTGATTGTGTGACATGAAAGGGGATAATTTTAATATTTAAATATGCTTGTCATGATTCATATAAAATTAACTGAATAGTGTGAGTACTGGCAATTAATACAATTTTATTATGGATTTAGAAAAATATGAAACAAAAATTCTATGCAGTACTTGTCCTCCTGTTCTTTATAGAGATTAAATGGTTTGAATGTAGGTAGATAAAATTGCATAAAGTATATACCTATGACAGTCTCCGGGTCCCCAGAGTCTACACTGGACATCAGGGCGTGAGCTATCTGTAGCACCTTGGGACCTGGTATGGTAACGGAACGACCCTGCTGACGTCTGATCATGTATCTCTGTCTATGCTTCAAGTTCATCCATAGTCTTCTTAATTGCTTTGCTGTTCTCTGGTGAATTAAATTAATTTTTGAATTTGTGAACAGTTGAAAAACCAAGGTAATGTATTTCATTAAAAATACAATTACTTGTCTAAACAATTTTGGCGTTAAAAAATTAAAATAGGTATTGTTATATTTAACAGTGATCCTATTAATTTCAGATAAGACTAAGAAACAATTTATGGTCAACTTTTTAATATTTGTAAGTTAGTTGCTTTTTTGCCTGCCTACCCCTCAGGCGTACTAAAAGCGTGATGTTAAGTTTACATAAAGCATTGATAACAATTTGTCCTTGAAATGTCAAAACAAAGCAGACTTCCAACTTGATATCACCATCTTGAAACCGTCCGAAACTGATTGTAAGTGCTACATTAAAGTTCACATAATTATAACTATAAAAGATATTAAATTATTTAAATAATTTACTTACAGTGTAATTTGTGGAAGGGTTCATATTAAATTCCATTGTAATTCTCTGCCATGCCTTATTTTTAGCTTTTAATGCTGCAGTATGAGTTCCCTTATGCTCCACAATTTTCACGTAATTCTTTAATATTTCTAAAAATATCAGTCGTTCTTGATGTGTAAATATTTGCTTTTTATATTGTATCTCCATTGTAAATCGGAATCGTCTTAAACTTACACTCAAACACGGTTTCAATTCTGAGTTCCGATAGTGACAGATTCACAGAGTATCTACACTTACCCACTCGAAAAAAAAAAACTGAAACTAACAGTTACGTTTTGTTATTCCAGGAGCAAAATATATTTTACAAAATTTTTAGGTCTTATTAATTTAAAATATTTTAAATTCAAACTATTGTAATATATTATGATGCTTTTCATTTCTCGAATGGGCAGGCAGAGACGAACATATTTTTCTAATACTCATTTTTTTAGTTGTATAGTGATTGACTATATAACTATACTATATATGGGCCTTGTAATTAATGATTTCATGCCTTTTATTAGGTACTACAACAATTCTTAGAAAAATGCGAGGTTCATAATATGAGTGATAATTTTAAGCGCAATAATAAAACGCATTTCATTCGTTCGAATTCATTCAGTTGTTCAATGTTCAGTGTACTACAGATTGAGATGAAGCACTTGAGATAGGTAATCGAGTGTTACTTGTTAGTCGTTAGAAACACAAAACTTACTATTCAAGGAATGATGACGTCATCGTATACGTATTATTAAATGATTCGACTATTAAATTTTATTGTGTTGTAGGGATTTCGGAGTTTGACTTAAGTGAACATAGATACAAAATAAGCTATATTTATTTTTATTTATTACTGGATTCGCAATAGACTTAATGCGATATTTTGAGGTTGATCTTAGGGTCTTGCCAAGAATTTCAAAAGTATGATATACTGTTTTTTTTTTATTTTGAAGAGTACAAAATTAGTGGTAGGGCAACCTTCTTGGTTTAACAGGATGTGAGCTTCTCCAATTTCAAATTGGTAATAAAAATTACCTCAATCTTATAACAATGTTAATTTTGAGTTATTTAAAAATTGCGATGACCTTGGACAATCGCTGCCTACGTGAAATGAGCTGTGGAATCCTGATTGATGAGCTAATTCCTTTAAAAGTATAGGTGAATGTATTGTTGTTGCAGGTATAAATACCTATGTATATTCGTTATTATAACACTATGAAATGTATAACATCACTGGCTTCTGCCGGCGGCTTCACCTGCGGTCTTTTGGGATAAATTTTGAAGTGATTGACACACAAACACAAAACCTCACAAACTTTAGCATTATAATATTAGTAAGATAAAATGTGTATTATATGTATTTTATCACATTGACTAGCTACTTCCGCGTGGTTTCACTCGCTCTGCTCGGCGCCTATTAATCGTAGCGTGATATTTTATAGTCTATAGCCTTCCTCGATAAATGGGCTATCCAACACAGAAATATTTTTTCAAATCGGTCCAGTAGTTTCGGAGATTAGTGCGTTCAAACAAACAAACAAAAAAAAACAAACTCTTCAGCTTTATAATATTAGTATAGAATAGTTCCTTAAGAATAACTTGATGAAAGAAAGAAAAAGTATTTACATTAATGACATTATCCTCATCACCATCAAATCAAAAGCCTCACCCTTCGTCCCATAAGTCGAATAATGACATGTATTAACCTATTGTAAATCCACTTTTCATTACTTAACTGCTTCAATAGTTATTGTATTATGGAGTGAGACTATTTCCCTACGTAGCTACAAATGTATGTATTCAGACTTTGTACTATTACTAAGAATTTCCAAATCGAAAGGCCTAATAATACATTTCCGACCCGAGGGTTAAACTCGGAAATTGAGGGAGACTCGACAGACGAAGCTTTTATGTACAGCAGGATATTCGATTGTATTGATAAAAATGACGGCATCATGAGTTGTGGTTTTCGATAAGTTGGTAAGTTAGATAATATTTGATACGGCGGTGTGTCCGAACAGTTTTGAACTCAAACCGAGCCCTTACTCAGTGAGCTCGAAAATAGACAGACCTGTTAATAAACCAAATGTCAAGTTTAATGTTTAACATAAAAATGTGTCAACATGTTAGCCATCACTCCTAGCTAATGCTAGATTAAGACTGATAGCTAAAGATTTTACAGTCTAACCAAAGAATTTATACTTTAGGGAACAGAGAGTATAGTTCCCTATGATCGGAAAAGGAGGATCCTCCGACCAGGCGAGGTGATCGTGCCTGGCGGGCTTTCTGCCCAACAGTTGTTCGTTGGGATTTTCTATCCGTGTTTATTTGCTTGTAAACTTTGCATGTGCGATGTAGGATTCTTGTGACGTCATCCGTTGACATGTGACATGTGTCGCCACATCACTCCCTCCCAAGACCGGAGGTCGATCCCGCTGAGACGGCTGTCGATGCTTGAGATGAGTGGCGCCAGAGCCAGTGTAGAACGTCCCTAGTTCCAGTGGGTCGGAACCGTGCCGCTGAGTGCCCAGTGAGTCGGGTGAGCGGTGCAGGGTGAAACTCCAGTGAGTCGGAGAGATGAGTTCGCAGTGTCCCACGGTGAGTCGGGGAAGAGATGCTGCGCGGGTAGGTGCGTAGTGGCCGGCATCTGCGTTGACGGGAGGAGATGTCCTTCAGAACCGTGTGCAGAAGTGCTGTGCCTAGACGCTGGTGAGGCCGTAGGGAAGAACCAGGCTGCACAACTTCGTTGCAGGTAATGGTGGTCCCTGATGAGGCCGAGGATGCTGGTTGGCTGCGACTTGGTTACCGCTCAGCGGAGAAATGATGAATGAGAGGGATGGCGATACGGATGACGGTGCTGATCTGCTCCGTGAAGTGAAGGTTGTTTCCAATCACGTCGGGGTCACCACTTTAGGGAACAGAGAGTATAGTTCCCTATGATCGGAAAAGGAGGATCCTCCGACCAGGCGAGGTGATCGTGCCTGGCGGGCTTTCTGCCCAACAGTTGTTCGTTGGGATTTTCTATCCGTGTTTATTTGCTTGTAAACTTTGCATGTGCGATGTAGGATTCTTGTGACGTCATCCGTTGACATGTGACATGTGTCGCCACAATACAAACAACTGAGTAAAAACGAGGTTTGTTTATGAATGCACTCATATAATAAGTGGGTTATATGTACAAATGTATAATATGAGTAATCTACAAATAGAATGTGGTAAACCACTTCGTGTGATGGCCTAATTAATTGGTTTAACGGACAAAATAGTAAAAATCTCTTTTTCTTAACATGTGTGATGTTTTAATATCGTATTAACTAAAATGTTAATACTTACTTTTATTGTTTAATTTTTGGTTCAGTTGTAACCAGTTTAATAGTTCCCTTGAAACTTCTGATTGAAACAGTTTTCGGTGAAATATTATCTGATTGGTACGATTGTACGTTTTTATAATTAAAATAGGATTTAGACCGATATGAGACTACACCGTTTTGGGGTGGAGAGTTTCTCCCCATTTACTAACTCAAAACTCCTTCAAATACTTTGGTCGAGCCATAAACGACATAGGTTGGTCAATCACTGTACAATAAGCGACTGCACGGTTACTATCCTTACCTCTATCCGACAAAATTTTTATTGGGTAGTCTTGGTTACAACTCCCTGGAGGTAAGGAGGGCAAGAAACCAACTTGCAGTAGCCTGTAAAGCTTTCCGTGGCACTATTGATGCTCCAGATCTACTGGAGTCATTATCGCGCTTTTACGTCCCAGATAAATATTGCCGGGGTAAAAAGCACAGGCTATTTGCCGTGCCCTCATGTCGTACCGTCGCACGCGCTAATTCACCTGTTCTTCGCACTCTGGCCGCGCTCAATGATCTCCTGGTTTCCAATCCAACTAGTGATCTGTTTGCGGACGGATGGAAGGAGATTTTATCAGAATGCTTGAAGTACTGCGAGAGAAACTCATGAATGGTGTTAACCCCTGTTTTAACTAAGTTTTACTTTTCTTTTGTTTGTGTTTTATTGTTGTATCAGTTACTGTTATTGGATTTTTATGCCGTTGTGACTGTTAAAAAATAAATAAATAAATAAAAAAATAAATAAATAAATCACACACTTTTTCAATATGGCCGAACTAACGTAGCAACATATATTTAATACTTAAAACCATCACTGATAGATATCATAAACATTATTCCAACAGAATACATATTTTTGGATTAGACAGCTTCCTTTGTTTTGTTTAGAGATCAATACTTATAAACGTTTCTTTCATGAACGTTTCTTTTTGTATGACGATGTGAAATATCGTACAAGACTTTGGTATTAAATGTCAGGCGTTATAAGCTTGATAATCCGCCCTGATATTCGTATCCAATGGGTTGGAAAGTAGGGTAGGGCTTTGGGGTGCTTTTCAATATGGCACAACTAAACGATTTTAAGAAGACGACTTTATTAGAAAATGTTGTGGATTATGTTTGTTTAAGAATCCTACGTTCTTAAGAAG